GGTATTTTGAGGTCTGCATGTATATTGGTATTCCGGATGAACCATCTTGCACAGGTTATTTTTCTAAGGATCTTGTTTTGGCATTGGTTTAATTTCTTCAGTAGATGTTGAGGTATCGTTGTCCAGGCAGGTGAGGCATAGGTAAATATTGGGGCGGATCATTGCTGTGTATAGTAGCTTCTTTAGATTAAGTGATATATTCTGATTATATATTAATGGTTGTATGGCTATTATTGCTGCATTTGCTTTATCTATTGTGCTTTTGATGTGATCATTCCAGGTGAGTTTGCTATTGATTATAAGGCCAAGATAATTTGCTTTTTTAACTATTGGTATGTTGAACATTTTTGGTTGAAGTTGTGGAAGTATTTTAATTCTTCTTTTTTGTATAATTATTATTTGTGATTTTCCAGCATTTACTGCAGTTTTCCATTTTAAGTACCAGTCTTCTATTTCGTCTATATGGTCTTGTAGTTTTTGAAGAGCATGAATTGGGTGTTCATTAAATGAATGTATATTAAATACATATAATTAATAATTTAAAATTAATACTGGTAGCTAAACTAAAGCGCTTAATAAACAAAGTTTTAAACTATTACACTAACTTTTCCGATTTTTGCTAAAGATTTTTCCTGGTGGTAATTGAGAGGCGTTAGCAAATTTTTACGAGCTGTTTTTAAAATGAAGCATACTTTTCTAGGTTCTTACGTATGTTTTTTAAATTTTTTGTATTCAATCCTAGAGTAGCGTACTAAAGCATGAAATCGGCTTTCGCTACCACTAGAAAATATTACTCATAATAATCTTAAGAGTTCACATGCATATTACACAAAAAATTTTTGAGATGCAGTAATCTTTGGATTTGTGTTATACAAAAGAAATTGAAATTTTTCAGAGAGAAATTCGGAAGCTAACAAACCTAATTAAGATCACTTTAATATTTTTTTTTTCTCTGTAACGATATAGGAACATTCAGAACTGGATAGAACATATATGACTTTCATAAAATTAATATTATCTGAAACTAAAAATAATCATGAAGTTCAAAAGCCAATAAGCTATCTTTTTCACAGTGGCACCGTCCTGAAATAAAAACAAGTCGCTTTTCAATGATTAACGTTAATATACTACCGTTACTTTATTTTTAAAACCAGAGGAAATTTCGAAAATAAAATACCCTTTAAGCATCTTTTTACTTGAAGTTTTGAAAAATTAACTTTTTTCCCACTACAGAGATGCCATCTTGCTCGGCATTGTTAAAATATATTTTTTAATGATTATGAAATTGAAGTCATTTTTAGTTCAGTATTTCTCATTATATGTTTTACTTCAAATCAAAAATTCAAAATGCATCGAATGTAACTTTATTGTAGATATATAGTGGTGACACTTTTAAAGAGTGGACGTAATTATTATTATTGTAAATTATTATCACATTTTAATTATTAATTTTATGTTTTATTTTAATTACGGATATTAAATAAATTTGCTAATTACGTATAAGTATTATGTTTCGCTATATGAAACTCGGTATCAATTAATAAAAACTTGTGCAGAAGACGGAGCAAATTAACTCCTTGAAGCACTATAATTACACGATCATAACTTTTAAAATTACAGCAATTTCGTAAAAAGTTGGTAACAAAAAAAAAAGTATATCCTTATTTTAATAAATTGAATAATCAGAATTTTGCTCACCTCAACAAATATCTCATTTAAAGGGCTGTATAATTTACTTGATCTTAAATTATAACAGGAAAATTCAAAATTGTCCAATTGTTTTTGGAAAAAAATCAAGTAAGAAAAACATTTTCTACCATTGGAAAAAATACTTCGCCAAAATCACAAATCTTGGCGAGGACAAATGTATTCAAGCGGTATTTAATAGAGACTTTTGCTTTAAAATTACAAATATTTATTCAATATCAAAAATTATCACCTCATTTCTGCTCAATATGTTTTACTTGGAATTGCTAACAGCATATGGTAATCCTGTACCTTAAATAATAAGAATTTAATTTTGTATGGAAAAAGAAAATTAGACACAAAATATGCTATTTTAGATTTTTCAATAGATTTACTAACAAGTATTTAAATAGACATTTGAAATATTTTTCGCTACCGTTATATTAAATAAAAACTATTAATTATTATTTGCATAATTTTACGACAATATGATTTTTACTTGGATTTTTATCGTTATATACAGCATTTGCCTGTTTATAAAAATAGTGGCGAATGCGGAGATGTGAAAATAAGAAGTGTCATATCTAGGACTGGGCTATATATCGATTTAACGCATATATCGGCAAGACGATACAGCGACTTTCATTCAAGGCGATGCATCAGAAATCTGATTTAAGCCGTCGAGTAAAGACAACGAGCGCAAAACGATATAGCGATATAAGACTCGCAAGGATATAAGATAACGATATAGCGATATAAGACTCTTCTCTTACGTTCCGATGTCGACTCGCGCTGTGGAAGACGATGTTCGTTTCGTTATGTTGAAATGGCCTTGATTGGTGAGCTGTAGAATCAGAATCAGAGTTTTGAGAACACATATCGTTATATCGCATGTTCCTTTTCGCACCTCTTAGCTTTTTTTTTC